GGAAAAATATCTCTAATATAAATTATATACAATCAGGAAAGTACATTACAAACAGAATATCATTGACAATGAATATCAAATGAGAGATATATAATTACATTGCAAATATTTATTCAAAAATTTAAAGAATTAGAAAATAATATTAAGATTTTTGAAATATTGATAAGTTACCTGGACAGAACCTGTGTTGTGGGTTCTTAATTTTTTTCCAACTAATACCCTACTTTGTTTCCCCTAATAGTCAAGATTACTAAAGGACACTAAGAAGGATTACTTCAGAGTAAGATGATGACACCTTGACACTGCAGAGAAGGGATCCTGCCTCTTTTACCAAAAAATGCCTAAGAGCTCATCAATGAGTGGTGTCAGCTAATAATAGTCAGTGTTTGAAAATTCCTCAGTGTTTGACCCTGCTCTGGCATTTCTCGTTTATATCTCATATCCCCATTAACATGGCTAAGGTGTCACTAGCAACAAAGCCTGTAGTATCATCCGCTAGTAGGTGATCAACCAGGCCAGGCTTGAGGATCGACTGGTTGGGGACTCCAGATCTAAATTGTTTAAGCTCAAGATTACTTTAAGGTATAGCTAACATCAATAGGAAAACAAGAAATAACAATAATGGCTACTTTACTGTGGTTAGTTGGGATCACTACTTTCCTAAAGACACTTTCAAATTCTGAGGTTTATGTCTCTTAGCTACTGCAGTTTCTCATTGGTGAAAAATGGAGATTTAAACATGAACCTAGAGTGAAGATTAGAGAGATCTTTTTTTAGTATTTATTTCTTTCCCATTAAGGGTCTACTAGACTTGACAAAAACATCACAAACTCTCCAAACTACTGGAAAATTGGTGATCCTTTAAAAACTGGAATGCATTTCAGAACAGAGTGGCCTTCAATGTAAAATAAGCTAGATAGAAAAAAAATTAAAATAAAATGAGGAAGATAGGGCAGTCAAAGATGACATAATAGAAACAAAACTGGAAAGGAAGGTGGCATACTTTCATTTTCAAGTTCAATTACCTGCATCAATATTTGGAAACAGAACTAGGGTCCGCTTGTTAAATGAGATAAGTGCATCCAATGTTAACTCAAACATTTTAATGGAATGCTTAATGTCAGTGGTCACAGGGTGCTGTAGTGCAACAATGTAATCTTTAGATTTTACATCATCACCTGTTTAAAAAAAAGTCAAACCACATTGCTTTATTAGTTAAGAATCTTAAAGGAGAAAGAAGTGAATTCTAAAAAGCAAACCCCAAAGTCTGCTCTTAAAAATTCCAAAGAAGAAAGTTTCTCACATTCTAAGCAGGGCATCCAAATTAGGTTCAAATGATAAGAACTTATAAACAACAAGTCCAAGGATTCAGCAAACTTAATATTTTACAAAGGTACTTGCTACCACAAACAAAACATGTAACTTTAAATAAGAGAAACCAGAATTCATTGTTTTAAAATCCAAAATATTTCAAAGCATTAGAAAAATGTGAATTTCCCCAATTTCTAGCTAGTGTTTCTTCTGAATTATCAGCAATATTAATGAATAATATGTTACAAATCAGGGCATTTAGAGCTTGAATGAGTATTAAATATATTTCATATAATATATAATCTATATTTCCTATAATATATAAAATATATGAGCCTCCCCATACCATCACCCACCAAATTCAACAAATGGCAAATGTTTCAAACTCTGTTCAAAAGACTAGAAAGGCTTCACTTATTCCCAGGCTAGAATACTCAGGACCGTTCCCGTAGCAAAACTTTGAAGTATAAATGGTTCCAATGGACAGTGCTATGCCAAATAACACAACACATTTATCAACAGGACTTACATTAAATTTCCATAAAAATGAAAATGAGCTCCGCTCACTTATTTTTAATAAAAGAATATATTTCTTTGTGATATTAATTTTAATGATCAACTTTATCATGAACTATAAGTTTATCATTAATTTCCAAATTCACAGTAGTTAATTTTTGATTTAATGGTAACAATTTTTACTAAGAATCTTCAGTAGTATTTGATTTGAAAGACTATAGGCTCCAAATTTTTATTTTAAAAAATTATTGGCCCCATATTAAGTTCTAAAGTGGAGGATGGAAGGATATAATTATCAAAATTTTGTACAAAGTAGAAAAAAGACCTAAAGGCTTAAAAGAATCTATCAAAAACAGAAGTCTAGAAGAATCAGATGAACATATTAAGGTCATTAGATATAGATCAGGGCCACTAGAAACTATTGGGAGAGAAATAGCAATAAAACAAGTGTCTTCACTCTAAGGCAGCGGTCCCCAACCTTTCTGGCACTAGGGACCGGTGCTCCTATGACAATCTAATGCCTGATGATCTGAAGTGGAGCTGAGGAGGTGATGCTAGCGCTGGGGAGTGGCTGCAAATACAGATGAAGCTTTGCTCTCTTGCCTGCCGCTCACTTCCTGCAGTGCGACCCAGTTCCTAATAGGCCTGGAATCTGGGGCCAGGGGTTTGAGGACCCCTGCTGTAAAGGACATGGAAATATTACGTATATGCTGCAATCTGACCACAGGTACAAGTTGGTCCTGCTATAATGCATGTTTCTATAGGGTGAATTAGCTCATCTGTGACTGGTAAGTAGAGGAATGATGTCAGCTTTTAATGTAGTACTTGAGTTACTCATACATGATTCCCTCTGATTTCCTCTTACATACAAAGAAACACCACAGTAAATATAGAACCTTACAACACAAAACAAAATGATGGTACCTAACTGGAAAGGGTTGCATGGAAGGGCTGAAACTGCTGAGTTCTGGAGAGAGTGATAACGTCAGGAATTGCACAGCAAGAAGCAGGTGCAAGCTTTGCACGAAATGTATTATTGCCAGGGATGGGTAGCTTCAGCTCATTGTCCTGTTTTCTTTTTCACTTTTTTAAAAAAAGACATCTAATTTTTGCCCTTTTGCCATCCTTCTCTTATAAAGAGACTGCTTAAATGGCACCATATAGAGCCTTAAGTTACAAAGTGCAGTCCTGTTGCATTCTGCATTATATCGTTATTTTCTATTATATAGTGCAGATGTTTCTTAATCACACTTAAAGGAGAAGATAAATGAGAGTGAGAATGTGATGGAGCTTCTGCAATCCTATGCAGAGGGTTATTCTACACAACTTGTAGAATTGCTACAACTGATTGCTAAGGGGCAAGTGGAAGTGAAAAGGAAATTTCAGCCGTTTACTCCAAGAGAGCTTTCATTATTAGGAATTCAACATGTCTTTTTAATTTTGCTAATATTTTATTGGGACTTTTATTTTTTAATGTCCTGGTTATAAAGCTGCATGTTCTGAGTGGCCTAACACTATTTCTCCTATAAGCAGAGTGATGACATCAGAAATTGCAGATTGAGAAGCAGGTATAGGCTTTGAACAACTATGACTTTTGCTTTTCAATCATCATCATCATAATCCTTTTCAGTAAGTATTTATGCCTTACTAACTGCTTTCAACATTCATCTCATCTGAGCATTCCAACAATCTGCTTTCAATATTCATCTCATCTGAGCATTCCAACAATCATGTAAGGAAGGCATTAAAATTAAAAAGAAGAAATTTTTCATTGTACTAGAAAACAAAATAAAGGACAACAAACATAAACACACATAATTCTACTAACCAGAAATATTATAAATGACTTGGTGTACATGCTTCCTTAACTTTCCATTATGTTACTGTTTTCATGAAAATGGCATATTATAAATTTTGTAGCTTTTCTTCCTTTTTGCTATGTCAGGATCTATCGCTGTAACTATTCACCCATAACATTATATTTAATGGATTAAAAGCATTCCGTTGTATAAATTTAACATTAAAAATTCAATCCATTAAGTCTATTTTATAGAAAAGGTGAGTCTCAGAGAGTCTCATAACTCTCAAAGGGCAAAATCTATGAACTAAAATCTTAGCCTTCTGATTGCTAATGGAATATTCTTTCACAAGTTTCTTAGAGGACTGAAACATACCCAATCAACACTGACAAACACAACCATTAGGCTGAATAGTCTGATGCGTACCTAACCACATCCGAATGACGCTCATGTAGTCTTTGTTCTTGGCAGAGAGAAGTTTGTCATAGGAAGGGCAGCCTGCCAAAAGGATGCGATCATGGTCCTCACACATGGAGATCAAGTGCTGCTCTGCACTTCGGGTGCAGCACACATGATAATGAGCCAGTTTTGTTATGGCGTGTCTGATAGAGTCATCAATGGTCCCACTGACTTCCCCACCTTCAATGTGAAGGATTCGGATGTTCATCAAGGCAGCAGATGTAGCCAGAGCTAAGGCATCAAACCTGTCTCCGTGAACAATCATGATATCAGGCTTCAGACGATTGAGGACATCTGGTAGCTTCACTAAGGCTAGGCCTACTGACTCCACCATGGCTGCTTCATCTTCCCCTCTAACAATCGTGTGCAGCCTGGTATTAATGTCAAAGTCATCTTGTTCAATCATGCGGTATGTGTTTCTAAAGCAGGAGAGAAATAAAAGATTTGAAATAAGCATGTTTATAAATACTGGGCCAAAAAGCAAGAGAAAAGCAATCTAACATCAACTCTGAATGGAGAAATATTTTATAAAATTTCCCTGTTAAATAAGCTGAAGTATAACTTACAAAAATTAAAAGCCCTGACCATAAATGTATAGAATGCTTGATTAATTTTTCTACCTGTATACCTTCTAGCCGCCACCCAGATAAAGACAGAACACATCCAGCGTCTTAGAAGTCTCACTTGTGCCCCTCTTAGTAAGTATGTAGAGGGAGAAACATCTGAGGGAGAATTTTTTTTATTAGGAAGAAAAGACCAAATTTTACAGTGGTCACGACTCTTTATTTATAAATTTATAAAAAATATGCTACTTAATAGAAAAAAATGTTACTTTAAAGCAAAGCTCATTTAAAAAATAGTAGGTAACTAGGACACCTGACATGTCACTATAATATAAATGTCTGAATGATGGAAATTATCACCTGAATTCCTTGTATGGTACCATTAATGCAGCATAATTCTGATTGGGGTGAAAATGTAGGTTTTACAGCATTAAATTAGCTGTGAAATGCAGCTTCAAGCCTGTTTCATGCTTCAATACGTTTTTTTAAATATTATAACACATTTATTTAAAAACTGGAAAATACAGAAAATTATCATCCATAACCTATCACTCAGCAATATCAGTGTTATTTTTTCTTTCTAGCCATTTTAACATGGCTGAGAACACATTACACAATTTTGTAATCTACTTAACATTTTCTCTGATCATGAACAATTCTTTACATATATCATTTTATATCATATGGATATCCTAGTAGTCATTTTATAGATTCCGTTGGATTTTCCTACACAAGCTATGATGTTGCCTGTAAATAATGACAATTTTTGTGCCTTTTATATACCTTGCTTTAGTGTATTGGCTATTAATGTCAGTGCAAACTGAAGGCAGTGATGAAAGCAACTATCAAGCTGTGAAAACACATGAAGGAAATTAAACGCATGTTACTAAGTGAAAGAAGCCAATCTGAAGAGGCCATATGCTGTATGACTTCAACTTTATGACATTCTGGTAAAGGCAAATCTGCGGAGACAGTAAAAAGATCAGTGGTTGCTTGGGTTTGGGAGAAAGGATGAATAGCATATTTTTAGGATAGTGAAATGACTGTATGATACTATAACAATGGATACATGTCATTATACACTATTCTCCTGTAGGAAATGTCATTTTTGTCTTGTTGCTTTCAAGATTTTTTGTTTTCAGCAGTTTGACTATACTATGTCTGCATGTAGTTTTCTTTGTATTTATCTACGGAGCTTTCTGGATCTGTACATTGAAGTTGTTTGCCAAATTTGGAAAACTGGCCAGCATTTCTTTTAAGATTTTTCTGCCCCATTTTTCCCCCTCTTTCTGAGATACCAGTTTAATATATATTACATTGCTTTTGACATTGTTCTAGAAGTCACTGAGGGTCTGCTCTTAATTTTACTAATTTTTTCATTCTGTCCACTGAATAGTTCTTATTGATCTGTCTTAAACGTTCACTGACCCTCTCTTCCCTACAGCATCTACATCAGGTGAATTTTTTATTGCATGCATCGTACCTTTCAGTTCTAGACTTATTTGGTTCTTTTTATAGTTTCCATTTCTCTGTTAAGACAGCTGCTCATTGAAATAGTCCTTGTCTTGTCTGCTAATTCCAGCATCGAAGCCATCTCTGGGTGTTTCCATTGACTTTTCCTCTTGATGTTAGGTCAAATTTTCCTATTTCTTCAAATATCTAGTAATTTGTGATTGTATACTGAACATTGTAGAGATTCTGGGTTCTATTATCTTCCTCTTAAGACTATTGATTTTTGATAGAGCAGGCAATTAAATTATCAACTGAGCACCTTGAGGAAGTTCAGTTTAACACTTTATTAGGGGTCACTTGTTTCAGTTAAAAAGCAAATGGAATGGTTTTACTCCTAAGGTGTAGCCCTTCTGGGATTTCAATGAAAATCCTGAGAAGTGTCCTCTAACTTGGTAGGACTCAGACTCTCAACTGTCTCCCCTGAGGTGGACAGCAGATAAAACAACTCCAGTTGTTTTCTGCTGGGTTTCCTGGGGTCCCCCATGCATGTGCAGTTCGGTGGTCAGCGAAGAATTTGAGAAGAGTCTCTGTACAGACTCTGGGGCTTCCCTGTGGCTCCTTCATTTCACAATTTCTTCCCTCAATTTCCAGATGCTATAGAAGCTCAAGTTCCATTTTCTGGCACTTCGACCTAAACAACGGTGGCTTTCTGCTTGAGTCCCAGCCAACTTACACCTTGTGTACTGGGGGATACTCTAGGAGGAAGAGCTGTTTAAACAGGGATCTCACCTTCTATAGTTCTCTTCTATGGAGGATCAAATCCTCTCCAGTTTCTGCTGCTGGTCACTATCCAGTACCTTCAAGTAATTTTTAAAAATATTCTGTCCGGAGTTTACAAGCATTAGCTGTGGGAAAGTTAGTTAGATACGAGCTGCTCTGTCATTACTAAAACCTCAACCTTTTCTAAAAAACTATTTTATAAATTTCTTGAATTGAATATTTAGTTCAGTTACTCCTTATTTTTCTGCCATATAATGAAAGCACTTAAGACTATAAATTTATTTCTAATTAAAAGTTTTCTCTTATCATTTTATTTCCTTTATTATTTTCCTATTTTTATTATTTATCATTTGTCTTACCCACCAGAACGTAAGTTCTATGAAAGCAGGGACTTTCTTTGTCTTATTTGCTACCTGATACAGTCTAGAAGCTTAATAAGTATTTGTCGAATTTGCAAGATTGTTTTACACATGTAGCCATGCTGAGTTACATAACTTTAATTATTAAAAAGAGAAGTCACAACAATATTTGTCTTTCACAATATTTCAAGAAGGCTAAAAATATCTATTTTCAGGATAGAAATACTACCGGAAATTACCCTAGCTGAGCTTGAATTTTGGTTGCTTAGTATTTTATATTGCTTAATTAATTCTGTATCCCAAGAAGGCTACAGTTTTACTTCCTGAATTCAAAACCGCACTATTTCTATTGATGGGGGGGTGGGGGTGGAGGGGGGAGAATGTAATTGAATACATATTTTGATTCTTCATTAGCTGAAGGACCTGGATTTCAGGACAGTTCTGTTTCTGATGGGCAGCGCATGCAACATAGCTTTAATTCTGAGACTGTCTCTCCTACAGAATGTCCATATCTGACCACATGGTTCTTTCAGGAACAAGAAGATTATCCCCTTAAAACATTATCTCAAAAATAAAACAAAACACTGTGTCCCTTAACAGCAGATATCCTTTAAGAATCTGTTAAAGCCTGAACTAAACCAAAATATTGAGTTTATTTTTAAACTAAATTCTGTATTGGACAAACCTGCGTTAAGTATTTAGTTTGAACTGCTGCCAAACTTGAACATTTTCAAAACTATGGGACTATAACAAAAGTAGGCCACTGATATTTTCTGAATGAATTGGACTTGATCCAGTGCATTTGTTTCAAGTCCCTAAACTGAATCTCCTCACAGGAGTAGGGTCCTCATGTACTCATACCACCACACCAATTTTCTCATTAATCTTCACTGATAGTACCTCTCCCCTTTTGAATACCCTGTCTCTAATTTAGAAGCATCATTCTTAGATGAAAATGACTTCAATGAGTTCAATGGTATATCAGTTTTTGTTTTCCGATTCTTTGTCTTTTCTTTGTGCTATTGTATATTAAACGTACAAAGAAACATGATTAGCAGTTCTCAAACTTAATCTTCCCATCATCAAAGGGAATTTGATTCTTGAGGGATTTGTTTTCTCCTCAGCCTTTCCACTGGTGATAACCCCGCTACCGTGAATTTTCCAGCAGAAAATGCTGTGTACATACCAACTATCTTCTAATGATGTCATGAGATACAAAAGTTATGCACAATAATTATGAAGATAGCTATTCTCTGTTAGAGTCAACTAGACTTAAACGTCTTCATCCCTCCCAAGAAATTCCCATCTCCATAATTAGCATGTTTGACAGGCTTATTCTAAGTTTTTCACTTTAATTTGTTTTTATTTTCAATTTCTAGCCAGAGCAACTTCCTTTAGCCGTGAGGATATTAATCTTTCTGACTCCAAGATAGTCACTTTAACGCTCTTTGAGCAACTGGTTGGTATGGGAACCAGTCTGCACAATGTAATGAGCACCAGTTGCAGGGCACTCTATCTGTGGGGGCGGGGGGGTGGTGTGTGAGAGGGAGAGGGAGAGAGAGAGAGAAACAGGGGAGAAGAGAGAAAAAAGAAAAAAGACACAGACATGACAGTACAGAAGATTTTGGCATACACGACTTCAAAATTCTCAAGCAATCTTGAAGTGCTGAATCATGAAATGATGTGCAATTTTGCTAAGCATGAATTTGAACCCCTTCTATATGAGGCTAGTGTAGGGGAGCAACTTAGCTAATGATTAAGCCAACTGTCAGACCAAAAACAGCCTGTTCCAATCCATTTTTTCACATTTTTGTGGGGGAAACACTATAGAGCAGAGTTTCTCAACCTCAACACTACTGACATTTTGGGCCAGATAGATCTTTGTTTTAAGGGGCTGACCTGTACATTATAGGATGTTTAGAAACACCCCTAGCTTCTTAAAAAAAAAAACTGTTGAGTAAATGAACAATTGAATTTCTAAGTTATCTGTTAGGCATTTGATTTCCTTTTTTTATGTTTTATTTTTTATTTTAAGTGAGGCAACCCTTGGTTGACCTCACAGATTGCAAGGACCTTGTCAGCTTACAATCTCTTATTTTTTATTTTTTATGCCTGCAGTACTGGGTCTTCCTAGGTGGTCTCCCAACCAAGTACTAACCAGGCCCGACCCTGCTTAGCTTCTGAGATCAGATGGGTGATTTCCTTTTATAACCCAATTCTTAAGAGTATAAAAATGCTGTTTTTAAAAAAATATCCAAGTAGGTGAAGTAGAATGGTAACTTCTTTTTTCTGTTGGTTTAATGTCTTCTTAAAATAGATAATACATTCACATGGTTTTAAATTCCAGATACAAAAGGTTATACAGTGAAAAGGCTACCTTCTCACTTTTGTTTCCCAGTCATCCAATTCCTCTCCCCAGAAACAACCAATTTTTTATGTTAGAATGTACTTTAAATATACATTTCAATTAAGTACTACGTCACATTTCCTATTTAACAGTTTCATCAGACAAATACCACCTTTCCGTCCTGAATTACTTTTGTAGGCAGATAAGAAACCTACCACAATTTCCTTGAGAGCAACTCTCCCACCAGTTTTCTGTCAAACTTTTCTCATAGAAGTAAAAGAACCCACTTAGACTTTCATCTTAGGCTCTAGCTAAAATTTCTCTTCTATTTTTGTCCTATCTTTGTCATATGTATGGAAAACCCAAATGGGTTTTCTTAGAATTCATTTCACATTTTTAAAGTCTATGAATTTTTGAGCTATCCATAAATTTCTTCTCTACTCTAAGTATTTTCTTAGAGCAAATTGCTAGATTGGTTTTTGGAGGGAGGTTTTAATTTATTTGTTTTTGTTGTTATTATCTTGTGTTTAAAGAACAGTCTGAAAAAGACAACTTTAACACAAGTTTCTTTCATATTTAATACTGTATTTTTGACCATCTTTGGAGACTTCATTAACATTTTCATGCCACAAGGGTGCACTAAGTGCCACTTTATTACGTATAACAAAAGGAATGTCCATCTTTAGTTTATATATTCTGCTTTCTCAAATATTTCTCAACTTTCATTTTTCATAGTTCAACTCTGATCAATAACAAACCTAATGTCATCAAAATAAGCATCAGTGGCAATGGTAATGTGGCATTCTACTTTACCTTGTAGACCAATTAGATTTTTAACATCTTGTTCCATATCTACTACTTTATATGCTGTTGACCTATATACCAGTTTTAATGTAGAATTATCATTAGAACTCACAATACCGATTATAAGGAATCACATTATTATATTACACCATATATACTTATATGTGGCATTTCTTCTGAATGTAATAACAAATAATAACATTAAGAGCTATCACTTATCAAGCTTCTGTTAAGCAGCATCACTGTGAGGAGTCCTTTATATCACCATCTCCATTCTTCACAATAACCTATGACAATAGTTTTCATTCCATTTTATAACTGAGGAACCTGAGGCTCTGAGATGCTAAGCAACTTCTCCAAGGCCACATAAAAGCTAAGTGGTAGGACTGGGATTTGAAGCTGGGTCCACATGGTTCCCAGATCCAAGCTCCCCCCAGTACGCCACGTTGCAATGAAGAATATAAGAAAATGCTTTCATCTTACCCATAGTCATCTATCAAGTGCGAGCCAAGGACCACCACGTCAAGTTCAAAGAACTCAGGTTCCGTTTTAATGCCAAACATGATTGGTGCGAGTTTAGAATAATCAGCACGGTTGCAAGTAGCAACACAAACCCGAAGCTTTCGGTTATTCCCATTCTTCTCCATGACTTTTTTTCTTTTTGAAACGTCTTTAAAATAGAGTTCCTGAAGTTGCAAAAATAAAAATTATTTATGATCAGAATGATAGGTCCTACATATAAACATACAATTTTGCAGTTCTAAGTCCTTATCCACAATTTAGTATAGTGATTCTTAGCCTTATTCCACCCTCACTCCTATATGACACATCTACTGCTATATCCAGTCATGAAGTTCCAGCAGACTCATTATAATTCCACTCCTTTCTCACACAATTAATATACTGGAATGCAATTAAGAGTGACATAAGTCGACTCTCATTTAAAAAAACAAGCAAACATCAGCTCTTTATTATTGAAAATTACTTGCCATACCTCACAATTGACCCCAACATATCAGTCTATTGCAAAACTTTGAGAATTACTGATCTAGTTCAATTCTATCACTTACAGAAAGGGAAACAAGTCTTGAGAGGGGAAATTACCTCCCCAAGAGTCAAGATCATGTGTTTTAAGGGATGAGATCTATTCACCCTCACACCACATACCCCCTATATACAAAACACTGTGATTAGTGCTGAGGAAGAGAAAGACGAGGAAGATATAATTTTTTTTTAAAAAAACCACCCTGCCTTCAAGGCTTCATTAGCACCTATTGCCAGTGAAACCTGACAACTCCAAATGCCTACCAGAATCTCCTGTCTCATAGGCACCTTAAAGTCACTATCCCAAACAGAACTCATTTTCTTTCTTCCTTGTTCTCCAACTCAGTTATGAACTTTCATTCATCTAAATGCTTTGACGTCCTTGTTTCCTTTGTTCCTCACCCTTACCTCCTAAAGCCCTAACAATTCCACCTCCTGAATATCTTTCAAATCTCTTTCTCTCCATTCCCACCAGGACATCCCCTAGTCCAATCCTTCCTCTTAGATCTGAACTATTTTAACAGCTATTGAAGTGGCTTACCTGTCTCTAGCCTTGCTCTGCCTCCCACAAACTTTCAGAGTGATCCTTCCAAAGTTCATAAATCTGATTATCAGAGTACACCACCTAGGGACAAAGTAGACACTGCTGATTTGGACCTAGCCCATCCTTCCAATCGTTTCTCCTCTAACTGCAATTACCCTTATCCTGTGCCAAAGCCATACTGAAGTGCCTTCAGTTCAACCAATGGGTCTCTAATCTAGATGCAAGTACCTATACCTAAAACTACCTCTCCCTCTTGCCTGGACTCTTCCTCATCCTTCAAATTCAGCCTCAATGACGCCTTCAAATAAATCTCTTTCCTCTTCACTTCACCCCTCTTAGTTGCTGCCTGCCTCTGAGTACTGTGGCCCTATCGTACAGATATAGACTGTTGCTCAAATCCTCTGCCCACCCATCCCTCCACCGTTCTATTCGAAAAGTAAAAATCAGGGGCAACAGATAAGATATTTATTTTACAGAGCGTTTAAAACTTCCTTAGATCGACATAAAATTTCACTTCATGGACTGATCTCAATGCTTATCTTTCAGGAAGTGTATCAATATTTAGAATTTGCACTCAGGAATCTAAAGAAGCTTGAGTAAGGATGCCAATAAAAGAGTAAATGGTAAACTCTGAAACTCAGTGGAAATCCCATCAGTAGCCCACTGCTGCTGGTACCTCATCTCTCTTAGGCTAGAACTTCTGTGATCACACAAATTGCCCATCATTAGGCCCATTCTGAATTTTCAATCTCTAGTAAAAACTAATGCCACCCAATGGAAAGCATTTATAAGACAATGAAAAGAGCATTCTGTCAAGGGAGTTGTACAGTAAGTCCTCAGTTAACATCTTCGATAGACTCTGCAACTTGAAGCGAAATGAAACCAATTTTACCATGGGCTAATGGATATAAATGAATTCAGTACCTATGACATCTCATCATTATAACAAAATGATTTTGAACTAAATAACAGTAAATACCTACTGTATTCATAAGATCTAAGCACTACCTAATCATGAAACAAAAATATTTTTCTAAAAATGGTTGTCTTAAGTGTTCTTGTACATAATCCTTTTCCCACTCATCATTAAATGTAGGCTGAATAAGTTGTTGGTGATATTTAATTTGCTGGGTGAGGCAAAGCAAATCGTTCATGGTTGGTCAATTTGTATTTATTTTAAAAGAACAGTAAACTTTCCATCTGGCAATACTAAAATTCCTAGTATTTACCAGGTAACTCAAAGGTTATTCTACCAAAATAGAGAGTAAGACAGCCATATAAATAAAAATGAGAAATACAAATTAAGTCAAAATGTTTTTAGGAAAGAAATTAACTCTTAAAAATAAAATAATGGCAAAACGCCTTTTAAGGAGAGAATTCTTTTTTAAAAATAATTTAACTTATTTTTTGATTAGGTGGTACATTCACATGGCTTAAAAATGAAGTCACAAAAGGCTATTAGCAAAAAGTCTTCTCATCTGTGTTCTCAGCCATGTAATTTTTCTCCCTGGAAGCTAAGTCACTAGTTTCTTATCTACCCTTCTATAGATAAACTATGCATTCATAAATAAATATATATATTTCTTTACAGTAAACATTTGCTAAGCACTTCTGAGGTGCCAGGCACCAAGAGAAAGCATCAACTCATTTCATCCTCATAGCCCCCTATCTTATTAGTGCCACTTTAGAGGTGGGCACAATGAAGTACATGAAAAATAATTTTCTTGCCCCCAAATCGCAGTTAACTGCCAGAGTCAAAAATCAAACCCAGCATTCAGAACACTGCTCACACCCAGTGTTTGCCTTGTGTCTGTTCATTTCATAAATATCCGTAAGTGAGAACTTTCCTTGTACCTGGTCCTGCCATGAGAACGTGATATAGTAGTCCCCTGACCTTTACCTGAGGTTCACTTTCTGCAGTTTCAGTTACCCTTGGTCTGAGACAATTAAATGGAAAATTCCAGAAATAAACAATGCATAAGTTTAAATTGCATGCTTTTCTGTGTAGCATGATGAAATCTCACACTGTGCCTCTCAGGACATGAATCATTCCTTTGTCCAGCATATTCACGCCTTACATGCACCCCGTCATTTGGTCGCCCGTTCAGTTTTCAAGTTATCAAATCGATTGTCATGGTATCACACTGTTTGCATTCAACTCTTATTTTACTTAATAATAGCCCCAAGCACACACAAGAGTAGTGATGCTGGCAATTCACATACGCCAAAGAGAAGCTGTAAAGTGCCGCCTTTAAGTGAAAGGTGAAGGTTCCCAACTTAAAGAAAAAAATCATATGCTGAGATTTCTAAGATCTCTGGTAAGAACAAATCTATGGGTAAAATTGTGAAAAGGAAAAAGAAATTCATACTAGTTTTGCTGTAACACCTCAAACTGCAAAAGTTACAGCCACAGTGCATGGTTAAGTGCTTAAAATGAAAAGGCATTAAACTTTATCACAGGTATGCATGCATGCATAGGAAAACAGTATTTATAGGGTTTGGTACTATCTGCTGGTTTCAGGCATCTACTGAGGGTCTTGGAACCTGTCCCCCACGGATAAGGGGGGACTACTGTATATCACACTTCCGTCAGTGCACAGGGGATGAGATTTCCATCCCCTGAATAAGATGGAAGGGGCTATAAGAAAGTGGTCTGAAATTCGGGACCTTATTCTTGAGCTACAATTCGTTTTAGCTTCTTCCAGAGCTTCTAGAGTTGGGTAATGCTAAGTTACACCCCACTCCTCCAATCGGAGGAGCAAAGAATACTTTATCGTGGTCTAACAATTTTACAAGTGTGCTCAGGATTGGGGGTGGGGTAATAAACACCTATCAAACTTGCAAGGAAGCCCAGACTCAGAATGCATTAAAGCTGGGAGCAGACCTTCAAAATCATCTTTTAGTTCACCTTAATACCTCAAGGCAACTTGCCTGCCCAGTAAGCTCTCCGCTCTCTCTTGCACACCTCCGTTAACAGGACACTCACAATCATTCAGGACAGCCTGCTTCCTTATGGACCGCACTGCCTTTGGAGACAGCGTCAAGCTGAGCCTCTCTCTAACACACCGCGGCTCCAACTTCCCGGTTATTCTCTCCGGAGCCACACTGAACTTGCCTGCTCCACCTGCCACAAGGTGGAGCCCATAATGGGACCGAAGAGGGGCCCTGGAGTGTAGGCCCACGGAAGACAGGACGAGGCCCCGGGCGGGTGCGGTGCGAAGCCAGGGGTGCTGGAGGAGGAGGCCCTAAGAGGCCGGGAGGATGCTCTCCCCGAGCCCGCCTCCGCCCCCCATCCTCGCGACCCCGGCTGACGTGCGGCTCTCACCAGACGCTCGTCGGCGGCTCCCTCCTGCGCCGCCGCCGCTGCTACGCCCCGAGGGCACGAGCCGTAGGCAGCACCTGAAGGCAGTCGGGGCGCAGGCCGGGCGCAAGCCCGCCCCCTCAGCTCCGGCAATCGGCCCCGCGGGTCGATGACTCGTCGCTCGACCCCGGCCCCGCATGCCCCTACACGTCCGCCCCGAGCACCGAATCGGCGAGCGCGCCCTTACGTCACCTGAGAGAAATCCCGTGATTGGCTGTTCCCGTCCGCGCCCCACACCTCCCCAAACCGTTTCCAAAGAGGGCCAAGGGCGGGGCGCGCCGAACGTCTTCCGTGGTCGTGGCATTGCTGATCCTCTCTGCTTCTGCTCTGTTCCAACGCCGGCCACGCGAGCGCTCGGGAACCCGAGTCCTCCCACGTGGTAGTTGTTTCGGCCTTGCACCGAAGATGGAATTTTTTACGTCTTCTATCCACGCAGTCACTTCACAGGCTATGACCAAAATAATACCGTTGTGTAGCCAGTCCACCACTGAGCCCCCTCTCTTGGTCACACCACTCTAGAACCCTGTCTGTCTGCTGGAAGCCTCTGAAGGAGTGTTGACGACGACCAAGGCAAGTCAGATACTAGCTGATTATTATAAATGAGCTCCGCCTAGGCCTCCCCTGCAGGGAAACCTCAGCCAGTCCTGGCCAAGGGACGTCCAGAGAGGAACAAGGCTGTGATGGGAAAAAGCTCACACTGATGACTTTTTAATGATCTTTTCCTGAGTCACCATTGACAAAATTTGAGTGATGATAAAACGTTTTTACAAACATTAAATAATATACCACAGATGAAACTATTTAAACAGTCTAACAATTTATTGAGTTCTTACTGTAAGAATATATCTAGACTTTTGCACTTGATGTATTTCAATTAATGACAAAGCTCTAATTTGCAGAAGACTCATTAACCGTTGGTTCCCCTGCAGCTAGCTCGGAGCCACTAAAAGATCACATCAGCCACAAAAGGACAGACGTTAAAGGGTTTTGTGTAAGCAAGTGCCATCAGATTTCTTTAAATATCACTTTGGCCTGTGTGGAGAATGGATTGGGTGGGAGTCAAGAATGGTGGCAGCGAAAAAGAAAAGTGTTTGGAAGGATACTAACAAACTGGTATTGCGTCTGATAGGGCTGGGAAGAGATGGACTTTTCACGAAATTCCTATTTATAATACCTTTTGTATTTTGTAATGTATACACATATTCTGTATTAAAGAGAATGAAATAAAATTGTTTTAAAAAATAGTGGCAGTGAAACTCAATTGAAGTGGATGGATATGAGATTTAGTTTGGAAGTGGAACTGATGGAACTTAAATATGGATTAGGTATGAGGGGATGACAAAAAAGTAAACAAGGATGACTTCCACGTGTCTGGTATTAGTAATTGGGTGATTGGTGACATTTACCAAGATGAGAAAAGCTGGAGGAGTGACCAGGTTTGGGGAATTTAAAGTAGTTTCACTTTGGCAGATGTTATGTTTGAGATGCCTGTGAGATTGCTACATGAAGCTATTAAATAGGCAAAAGATATGTGAATCTGAACACAGATTCACTGGACTGTAGATCGTTTATTAGTTTCCTATTGCTACTACAACAAATTAACTCAAACTTAGTTGCTTAAAACAACACAATTGTATTATCTTACAGTTCTGGAAGTTAGAAGTCTGAAATGGGTTTCTCAAGGCTAAAATCAAAGTGGCAGTGTAGGTATCACAAAAATTTATAGCTATGTGTGGTGATGGATATTAATGACATCGTGGTGATCATTTAGCCATCTATACATATATTGAATCATTATTTTGTACACCTGAAAAAAATATAATATTATATGTCAAATGTATTTCAGTTTTTAAAAAAAAGGTATCAGTACCTCTGCCTTCCTTAGGCTACATGGTAGAATCTGTTTTCTTACCTTTTCCAGTTTCTAGAGGCTGCCCCCCATTCCTTGCCTTGTGGCCCCTTTGACCTCTGCTTTCCTTGACACATCTCTCTCTGTCTCCCTTGTTCACTTAAAGGACTCTGATTATATAGGATCCACTTAGGTAGTCCAGGATAATCCTCCCATTTCAAAAACCTAATTTAATCACATCTGCACGGGCTTCTGCTATATAAGGAAACATTCACATGTTCTGAGGATTAGGATGTGGACATCTTTGGGGAGCTATTATTTTGCCTACCACAAGTGGTATTAAGTCCCAGAAGATGTCCAAGGTGGACATATTGCTTTTAAAGTTACATGCCATACCACCAAATACTCAGAACATTAATTTTTTTCTCTTGAAGTTAAGAAAAATTAATTTCAAAACCAGTGTTAATGTTCAGCTTTTTAATCTGGGTGTTTATTAAATGGGTGTGTTTAGTTTGTAAAAATTTAAATTGTACACTTGATATGTGCATGTTTTTGTATGTAGAAGTGCAATACGTTTTTAAAATAATGCTTAAGATTATAGCTAAGAAAAAATGTAAGTAAAAATATAAATACTTTTAATAATAGGTAATACAGTTTTGAGAATTTGTGCACTTACTAAGCCACTTGTAGATTTTGTGTTTGACTAATATTGAGAATTTTATATTTCTATATATAAGTCGAGTAGTTCTGCATTCATGAAATCATTTAACCTTAAATGAAATGACCTTTTTAGAATTTTTCCCTATATTCTCTTGAGGTAAAGTTATAGGAAGGAGCGGTAGGAGGCATTTTCTATTGGCTTTTTGAGATCAATTTTCTATGGATAAATAATGCTATATTTCTGGATCTCTGTTTCTTGCTATTCAACAGAGTTAATTAATATACCAAGAATCTATCCAAGTCATTAAGTTTTGTTGATTTGGTTTGGTTTTCTTCGACTTTGAGGGTTCTACAAGCTGCAAAAAAGCACTTATAGCTTTGTAGTATAATAAAATCCGATTTCTCTATAGATTATTCCATAAGCAGAATTATAACTTCAGGTATTCAGGGCATAATTAGACTATCAAAGAATCCTATATCTTAAAAAATCATCTAATTCAGCCTTCTCATCAAAGGGGTAGTCTTCTTTACAGCATCCCTGACAGATGTTCATCTGGCCACTTTGGGAACATTTCTTCTAATGGGGACTTGTCTTGCTCTTTTATTTAGTAATTATAAAGTACACTGCCTTCCTATAAATTCTACCCACATATTAGTAGCCTACTATTCTAAAAACTTTATTTATATTCACTCAGTACTCCTAACAACCTTAAGATATAGATTCCATCACACCCATTTTATAGGTAGGGAGACTAAAACACAAAAGGTAAGTTGCCTATGGTCACACAGTTATTAAGCAGAAGAGCCCAGCCCTTGGTCCCACATGCTTAGCCACTGCCCTATATTTCCTCTTTATTAGTAAACAGAGACTTTACACATTATGATAGAAACCTATATTCAAGTTAATCTCGATCATGAATTTGGGGGTAAGTTGTTCTACGAGTTAAGAATTCACATGATTCTTCTACTGTCTAAGCCCACCACATCTCTCTGAACTGCTCACATAAATGTCTTAAGATATTTTAAAAGACATCTTTAAAATCAAAATATATAATGTCTATGACATTCTCCGGATGTACTAGTTTAATAAAGCCTTCAAAAAAGAAAATGAGGTCATTTTGACACAATTTTTAAAAATAAACTTTCAATCAGCATTATTGAATTCCGAATTTTCATGAAGTGAACACATCTGGATAACTACCACTAAGATAAAGAAAGAAAACATTACCAGTGCCCATGGGCTACCTACCCCAGGGCTGCTTACCCCTGGGGCCACCTACCAATGACCCAGGAAAAGGCCCAGCACCATGGCTGTGCATAGCAATAGACACAGCAGTACTGAGCACACTAACCTAGTTCCCTGAAGCACTGAAGACTTTGGAACACAGAGGGTTGGCCATTTTGGAGTGAATTGGAAAATGGGGCATGTTAAAAACAGATGCAGATGTGCTATGAGAGGTGGCACAGGTGGGTCATTGGGAGAGAATCCAGTCCATGACTTGCCTTGGATCCTGAACAACTCTCTGACTTCAATTCATGTGTATCACTAAAATATTTTATCCCTAAAATAAATCATCTTTTTCTTAAGGTACCCTTTTTCTTACAGTCTGAAGATATTAGCACCAAAACCTTAAGTCAGGAAGAATCCCCAACTCCATAATTTTGATTCCCCACTCTAACCGATTGGTAATGCCTGCCTAGAGGACTGTGTGGAAAATGACTCTGAGGCTGAGTTTAATGGAAAAGAGCACTATGGTGTTTGCTATGTTGTTTTTTTGAGGGGGATAGAAGGGAAGGAGGGATGATGCCATGCACTTGCCATTCCTGACCTTAGCCAATATCATGAAGAAATCAAGAGATGGGAAATGTTGAGCAATTAATCAGCATATTAAGCTGGATATTTCTGTTTAATAAATATATTTCCCGTAGCTGTTCCCTTCACCCCACTCTATAACCTGGGCACAGCATTTTTAATTGCCAGAATCTCTTGAGTATATAAAGAGATAAAACGCATCTTACAAACCAGATATCACTGCATGTCAGATTGTTTATAGCTAGATCAAGCCATATAGGCATTTTCCCAGAACAGATAGAATTACTCTTGTTATTCTGATGAGGTTACACTACATAGATGGGAAAGCAATTCTTTTCCCCTTAGGCAAAGCACATAAAGATTAAGTTTACATTAGCTGAAAACAATTTAGTAACGTCCTAAATTGTATGGGTCAACTTCAGGTTTGCAAGAGCATGAGATTGAAAAATATGCTTACAAATGTACTCATTAAGATACTCATAACAAGAAGAGAAGCCTTTTTGAAATTAATATTTCAGTGCCATTAATCACTATGCATATCCTCAATTACTGATCAGTTTGTCCTGTCAGCCAATCAGCTTTTTAGAGCACCTGTGGTTGTGAGCCATCCCTCTGCTAGCTT